CCTATCCATTTTCTTTACGAGTTACGCCATTCTTCTCCACCTCTCTCACTTCAATTCCCCACATTCAATATATCGTAAGATCATAGTAATCAAAGTCTGGTGGTAATAAAAAATTTCTCGCGTCGAAAATGCTACTTTCCATCGAATCCCTAGACTGATCGCGAAGAAAACCTCCTTCATCCCCAGACAAAAGGATAATCCCTCATATTTATGGAAATGTCCACCACCATTCGCCCAAATCAACAGAAGATAAATCATCAAAATCTCAAGATATTTAACCCCTGAAACTGGAGCAGATTCCGACGTGGACGAGTCACCGGTCTTATCCATATGCATTTTACGATGGCTATAAGAATATTCAAAAGTTGAGTATGCATAGGTAGTTAGATAGCTCCTTGATTCCCACCCCACGAGGGTTAGGTACCCAGAGAGTTCATGGACAACTTTACGAGACCTTAATGTAAGAGAGCTTCTGGTACAAGCGCGATATTATCTCCAAGGTTTGTTCGTAAAATATTTCCACGAGTTATAAAATCTACGAGTAGCTAAAGGTGGTGGATGCGACATTCTCGAGATCCGAAGAAGCCCTTTGTCGTGCTTCACTTACATTCTATACCCCACCCTGTATACGACTTTCTACGTTATAACTTTTATGAACGCATCTTATGCATATACAGTTGCAGATAAACGCGTGCAGTCTGTATGACAAAGCACCAGCAAAGAATACAACCGAGAAAAATCCAAGTTGAGTCACCTAACAGTCTCCATCAACTCCCATGACCCATGAAACTAATAAAAATAAAAAGAATACTAAGAAAAAAAGCCCTGAAACAGGAATTAGTTTCCTCTGACTGCACCACCTGTCAACCGCCCCAAAAAAAAACAAAGTAATTCTGATCATCTCCCATGACGACGTGCCTAAGTTAAAAGGAAAATCGAAATTCACGTTTGACAAAAGACCCAAGCGTTTGAAAATCCCCCGGGGAAATTCAAAAGTGACTGCCACCCTGTTACACCCCCTGTCCTGCCCCCTTCCCCCAGTATTTACGCAAATTTGTTAGAGAATCGATAGATGTTTCACTGTAAAATGGACGAAAATCCCCAACAGACGTGGTACAGAAGATAGCACACGATACATTGACTTGGTGGAGGTTGATGCGTTAAATCGCCATTCCAAAGTAATTACATTGGTCTTGTTCTGTCTAGTCTCCAATCCCCACCAATTCCCAGAGTTATACGAATAGCTGGTGAGAGTAGTTGGAGTTACCATCGAAAGAGTATTAGTTTTAGCGTTGGACCAAAGCACCAAGGGGATAGGAAACAGGGGTAGAGTAAGAAAAGGGTATTGGTTTGATATACCAAGAGGATGAGACTGGAGTGGATCCTATAGAAAGCACACTGGATCGTTTCGTAATACTTTGCCTTCTGATACCATTGTTATTTCAGCCAAACCCCCTACCCCCCCCTACACTCGATCCTATTTCACCTAGAAGGGGAATTCACTAGTCAGGCGCTCTCAGTTTTATCAAACGTACATTCAATTTACCTTAACGTCTCAAGTGTCGCATCAACACTGGGCACATGTGTACCAAGGGCTCGAGACGTTAAATTAACAATTGAATGGCTCTCATCAAGACACTTTGAGGTATTGAGTGCATTTTATGCGGAGAATTCAACCTAATGTCTCGACTTCTCTATTAATTTTCCAACTTCCCACCTGAAAAACTAGACATCCATTTCTCTATTTCCATATTTTCCCGAGTCTTCTACAGAAATTTTCTCCATCTCCACCGGAATAAATCCAAATCCTTCACCCCAGCATTCACAATAAAAATCTCAAATGATAAAATACTAAGGTAAATGGCGCTAAGGTAGACTCCTCAGAACTCTCAGAATTTGGGAATTTTCACTATGACGCCAACGTAATCCCGTATTTTTTCGCTGACCACTGCACTATGTTAAATATTGAAAAAGAAGGAAAAAATGGAAAAAAAAATATATATAGCGCATCCACCCCTTCACCCCATTGATCTCTAACTTCCTGGACAATGTATTCCACCCCCCGGAGTAGCTTTCCACGAAAAATACCGTCCCTGTCAGCACATATGTTTTATAGACCCATCGATGCTCCTGAGATGATACCACACCCCATGTGAGACACATTTTCCATTCCCTTTTGGATATTGGATTGGTAATAGAGCCTCAAACCTCAACCACCCCCCCAAACCCTTTACCCCATCAACTACCATTTTAACGACAATGTCACAGCGGTAATGTCCTGAAACTTCAACGAATACATTATTTCCCACGTTCGTGTGATTTATCCTAGTGTGCCATATACCGTAAGCCATAAAATCTTGGTCCATACCCACGAGCAAGATGAACACATGAAATTGACGACCATCCACTCTATCAGAATTATCTCGTCAGACTGTCTCCAGAATGACCAACAAATCACGGAGAATTTCCGGTGGACGCCGGATTTTTCGATAGTTTTATAATATTCGGACCCAACTACTCGTGGAAAAGTGAATTTTCCAGAGTTTTATTAACAGAGAATACGAGTAGATGTAAAAGAACACGAGGAATATTCCAAGTAATTCGAAAAACCTAAGGACTTCAAGTAATCCCCCGTTTCGAATAAATCGATTCTTTCTACTGCTTGAAAAATATTGAGTTGTCTTCTGTTGAAAAAGGGATACAGCGTCCGCTCGTTTGTCCCCAAGTGATTAATCCTCATTGGAGTTGAGTCCTCACACCCAACCCGGAGAATAAACTCGTGATACTCATGACAATTCTACGTCTCGATCGATTTTTCGTGCGTGATTCGAGTGCCCAAACACTCACGAAAAGGAGAAAACCGGATAGAGTAGAATTGAAAAATTTAAAACTTGAGAGGAAATATGAGGAGGCGAGAGGGGAAAAGAGAGAGGGGGTGGGTAAATTTAAAGGGGGCATGAGGCAAGAATTTACGAGCGCATACATTGCCCAGGGAAGAGCAGAGAAGAACAATAAGCAATAGTTGCAAATCATGGTGGGCGAGACAGTAAAGCAATTGAACAAGTTAAATATTGCATTCGCGGTATCATAAGCAGGAGAAAAATGGTATAAATTAACAATTAACGTAAATCAAAGTGTTATTGTTAAATATTCTATTGTCGAATGGCTCTTGAGTTCAGAGTGCATTAGGCGTGATATGCAACGGTGGTTGAATGTCATGAGAATATAAGACTCCAGATAACTCCAGATCCATCAAGAGACAACGACCTACGGCCCACTCATTTTTTTACGAGTAATTTCACTTTTTTTTTCACCTTCCTCTCTTCAATTCCTCGCATTTTACATATCGTCCGGTTGGAGTAATCAAACTGCGGTGGTAATAAAAAAATTTTTCGTGCTAAAAACGCCATTGTCCGTCAGATGTCTAAATTGATTGTGAAGAGAACGACCTTTTATCTCTAGGCGAGAAGAATAATTCTTGATGGTTATGGTGACGTACACCATCTGACGTCTGACTTAACTGAAGATAAATCCTCAAGCCTCAAGATATTCAACCCCTGAAAAGTACCAACACGCCTGGAACAGGAGCAGATACGGACGTGGATGACCCAACGTCTTGCCCAGACACGTTTTACGATGAACCTTCAACCCATGAAAATATTCGGAAGCTGAGTATGCATAGAAAGCTAGATAACACCCTGATCCACCAGGAGACAACGACCAACAGCCTATCCATTTTTTTTACGAGTTCCTCCATTCTTCTCGACCTCCCTCACTTCAATTCTTCACATTCAACATATCGTAAGATCATAGTAATCAAAGTCTGGTGGTACTAAAAAATTTTTCGCACGAAAAATACTATTTCCCATTGGATCCCTAAGCTGATCGCGAAGAAAACACCTTTTATTTTCAGACAGAAGGATAATCCCTGATATTTATGGAGATACCCACCACCTGTCGCCTAAATCAACCGAAGATAAATCATCAAATCTCGAGATATTTTACCCTGAAAACCACCACCACTTCTAAAACTAGAGCAAATACTGACGTGGATGATCCAACGTCTTGCCCACACGTTTCACGACCCCCATAAAAATCTTCAACTTGGAACCTAGAGCCACACCTCCTTGATCCCCCAATGTACTTTCGAGGCTTCACTACAATTCCCAAAGACTTCAACGTCAAAAACTTTCACTAAAACTCCTAAATTATCTCCAGGGCTCTCCATAAAATCCCAGATATTTTCACAATCTTCCCATACTACAAGTACAATAACAAAAAGTAATGACGAATTAAACAACAACCACTCCCCAAAAAATCATTCTCACGACTTTCGTAACTTAAAAATAAAAAATATAAATACTTAATTCCCTAGAACTAATGAATAGTAATCCCGGATGACGTGATGTCTACGTGATGTAGTCTAAATTATCGTAAAACCACTTGGCAATCCCTTGAAAAATGCCGCATCTAATTGAAATCGAACAAAGTGGGACAAATTTCCCCTGAAAACGTACGACAAACGTGTGTCTTAATTATGACCAACGCGTACACAAATACACCCCCATGACACCCACATAACAGCACAGGTGGAATTCGTGAATCCCCTGGCTAGATAACTGGATTAATTAAGACTCCTGCAAATGAGGAGATATTGCTCCCTAACAAACGTGAATTAACGCTAATTCAGGCATGTTGAGATGCAGGGGATACGTGGAGGAATGGGTAAAACCACCAGATCTCACTGCTCTTACTGTGCATGAAACTCGCCAAAAACAGAGTTCACTTTCAAACTGTACTTAGATTAAATCCCCCCCCCCCTGAAAACTTTCTAAAAAGTGTAATGCACATGTGCAATGTTTAAGCAACTCCAGTAATTCTGAATTATAATGGGAATTTTCCCATTATTTTGGGAAAATTTCTCGGTTTTCACGGGCTTTTTGAAATTATGTAGAACACGAGACTGAATTATTAGACGTAAAATCGTTATTTCTACTCACCTGAAGACTCGGATGACAGCCAAGCTCCAATAATGTACGGACGACACCTGCATGACCTTTATTTACAGCGATGTGGAGTGCAGTTTGGCGTCGTTTATTTCTAGCATTCAAATCAGCCCCGGCACCAGCTACCAGGGCCATTACACCTGATTCATCACCGAATGCGGCGTGATGCACAGCACGATCACCATCTTTGTCCTGGGCAACAATAAACACGTCTAAATTAATTAATTGCATCAAGACTCGGATTGTTAACAATCAATTGTCAACAATTGAATTTAACATTTCGTTTATTATCGATTTTCGATCCAATAATTAATAGCTTGTGAAAACTGGTCGATTATTTGAGAATGTAATATGAGAATTTGAACACATTTGATTATATTTGGTAAGTCTATTCACCTCAATTTCCACATCGGCTTTGTATCGCAGGAGAATCTTGATTACATCAAGATGGCCATTGTGGCTAGCTGCCTGGAGTGCAGTGTGACCAGCAAAAACTCCATTCACATCAGCATCAAGACGTTTGAGGCATTCCTCACACTTGGCTGAGTCGCCATTAGCTGCTGATTTCACAAGCTCCTCATTCACATCCCCCGAGACATGCGTCTCGAACAGCTTCTTCAATAATGCCGACAATCGTTCTGAAACAGAATACGCAGATCGACATGTAAACAAAACTGGGAATGAATGAATCATCGGAAATATCGGCGTCCGGGAAAATGTCAACAAAGTGTAATGGGGAGAAATAAATCCCGAAGAAAAACATCGGTCACAATTTCCAGGAATTTTTAGAATTCTCTTTAGTTTCCTTCGAATATTTAGTTATAGAAACTCACAAAAATTTTGAAAACTCACCACCATTGCTGTTTCCTGGTACACTGCCATCACTGCTGGCAACTTTAATGATGGCTTGGGGATTGTACGTCCACGAGGTGCTGCAGACCTCGATCTTGAGGTCGCCATCGTGATAAATTTGCTGGACACGACCAATTTTTCCCAGTGTCTGTCGAAAAACATCAATTACATTCAAATAAGATGATAATATAGTATTTAAGAAATCATAGATTTTATAAAATCATGATAACTCACAGGTGCCATGGCCTCAGCCCATTCGCCATGTCCTCTCTGTAGTAATTTAATTTTCTCGAGGTCATTACAAATTTGAACTAAATCTCCAACAGCGAATGTCTGATTGTCAGACGTGGAAGTGGCAACAGGCACTGGGGTTTGCACTTTGGACAGAACAGCTGGATTGAATGTCCATCTATTGCCACTGGGATAGGAAACGACAATGTCGTGATCCTCATCAATGCTGACAACTATTCCAGTTGTTCCCAGGCACTCGAACATTCCATCTGTCCAGCTGCCATGGCCATGCTGGAGGGATTGGACAATTTCCAATTCCAGATCAACATTAACCTGATGAATTTCCATAAAATTACAGAGTTATGGCGAATAAAAAGATTTGATAAACTGAATTGGAGGATTTTAAAGAAATACTCACTTGATCTCCGATCTGGAGGCCATGAGGGCCAGTCCTCCCTGGTCCCTGTTCCCCCAGCAGTGGCAGATGGTCTCGATAAACTGTCTGCCCTTTGGCATCATTGACAACCTTGAGGTCAGCCATTCCCTCAAACCCAACTCGATACAAATTTTTAGCCCCATTATCCCAGATAACGTAAGCAGCTGATCGAGGACTGGCTGCTGACCAGTCTTGAATCTCATTGACTTTTCCACGACGGCCATTACCACCGTCCTGATCCTCCCATTGCCAATCAACACCTCTTACTACTCTGGCACCTGGGAATATACCTCTAATCGCAATCTGGAATAATTGAATAAATTTCAACCATTAGCTAAATGGAATACAAGAAAAAACTCCCTAATAATTAAAATAATTAATTAAAATCAATGAATAAAAAAATTGAAGTTGAATAAAATACCTTTTTACTTTTTCGCCTAGGCTCTAGGAGGACCCTCTCACTCCCTGGTGTTGCCATCCGATAAAACCTGTGCCTGAGATGATGTTTATCCCCATGATAACAAATAGAGCACAAATCATAATTTCCACACTCTGCGCACTTCCACCTGATGCCAAATATTGGCTGCTGTCGACAGGTGTCACACATGGTGCCCTCGTGTTTAACCCCAGTTGTGGCAGAATCCAATACTCTGAGATCAAAAGCTCCAGAGCATCTATAATTGGCAGCTGTTCCATTGTCCCAGACAACGACCACTTCCTCAGGGGATTCAAAATTTCTCACAGTCCCCACATGTCCCTCACCGCCATCCTGCAATTCATACGAAACAATCCCATGTAAATAAATTATTTCCCCTCACTGTCATCTCCAAAGTCCCGAAAATAAACTGTTAAAACTTTCAAAAAATACCGTAAAAACAGTCAATATCTCTTTTCACATCAGAAATCGAATTATCAGTGCAGAAATACCGATTAAAATGGGTAAATAATTGTGATGAAATGTGAAACCTAACCTGTTTTCCCCATTTCCATTCGGGTCCTCGAATTACTCTGGCACCGACACCTTCCATCATAAATCGAGTTGTTCTCGCACCACCACTGGCCCCCGCCTCCATTATTCCTTACTGATTAATTTTAATCACAACCCAAATACTCTTTTGTGATAAATTTATCAACACCACAAGCTATCACCCAAAAACACCACCATCTTAGTCTCACGTCAAAACATTTCCAACTACTCGAACAATAGAGAATAGTCAGAGGTAAGTCGTGCTTGTAAACAAGCGACGTTCAGTGAAGGAATTAAATTCTTGGAAATATTATCGACTGATGTCATGGTGACAATCCAAACACTTTATCACATTAAATTTTCACATCACTTGGTCACTTTCACTTGATTATTTTCACTGATTCCATATTATTCACGATTTTTTAACGATTAGAGAGAGGAACGGCACGGACCGAACGACGAATTTAGCACGCGAAAATGTTTTTATTTGCATTTTTTAGGAGGATTAAGTAGTTTTTGCGAGATATTTATTAGTATTGCGGAGTTTTTAAGCAGAGTCGTGGGTTTTGGGGGATTTTTGAGGGTTTGCCGACTGTTTTTGGGTTTTTTGTTGACGATTTGAAAAGAAAACCGGCGCTCGTGAAGAAAAACAAATGACTGAGCGATCATGGCGGCGAGGCAGGGAAGGCTCGACTGACTACGTGAAGCAAAGATGGCGCCAGCAACTAAATACTTGCTTGAAAATAAAATAAATGATGCAAAATTCATTAAAAAAATAGAATATGAATTTTTTAACGAGAAAATTCAATTAATAAATGCCTGTAAGTATTTGTGATCGGACATGAATAATTGCTAACGGAAAACATTAAATTCGTGATAATACCATTGGCCATTGTGCTGAGGGCAATCTGGGCCTTTTATTATGCTCAATTATGTTCAATTGATTATTTCCATTAATCAGAGGCTTTTAGCTATTGTTTGGCGATCAGAGTGGGGGAGGGACGCGGGGGGGAGGAAAAATTTGTTGAACGGGAATTTCTTTGTTTGCGTTTTTTGGGGAAGTTGAGTCGTTTTTGCGAGAAATTTCGCGTTTTTGACGAGTATTAAAGGAGAATCTTACGTTTTGCGGGATTTTCGAGGGTTTGCTGGTTGTTTCTGGATTTTTTTTTGACGATTTGAAGAGAGAGCCGGCGCGCGTGAAAAAGAACAAAGGAATGACTGGTCATAGCGAATGGCGCCGCCGCCTGAACGTCTCGACTGACTACGTGAATCGAACATGGCGCCAGCAACTAAGTACTGGTTTGAAAATAAAATAAATGAATGAAAATTCATTTTAAAAAGAGAATATTAATATTG